AGGGCTATTTCCTGGCTCCAAATCTCTATTTGAACTTTCGTAAAAAGTTCAAAAATTCACATATTTCGAAGTTTTGAATTTACTGAGACCTAGCGCAGATCTGTGACTTAAAAGACTGAGAAAATATGCATTTTCAAAGTTGGCCATTTTTTGTGTTTTTTGGTCAGTTTTTGATGGGCAGTGTATATACATCACAAGTTTTGTCGCATGCACTCCTCAGTGTACTCGATCTTCGGGGTATAGTTGAACCATTCTCGCTAATAACTTACTTTCGCTCTCCAGTAATTATACACTCACCCCAGAGTACTCGATATTCCGTGGGGCTTGGTTAAAAAACCCTTTCCTTTCACGCTAATAAATTACATTCATTCCAGTAAATTAATACAAACAAAACCCAGACACGACACAAACACACATAAGCGGTCAAAAATTCCTAAACCCTAAGATAACTGAAGATCAATATGTGCCAGTGGCCGTGTCCCAAGATATCAAAATAATGCTTATAAACGTCAAGCCTTCTACAATAGTGCCTAATGACCGTGATATATGTAAATTAATTCATTGAAATTTTGCAATATATTTGGAAAATTTAATACTCTTATTATATATACGATACAACGTACTACTACTACTGCTACTGCTACTGCTACTGCTACTACTACTACTACTACTACTGCTACTGCTACTGCTACTGCTACTGCTACTGCTACTGCTACTGCTACTGCTACTGCTACTGCTACTGCTACTGCTGCTGCTACTGCTGCTGCTGCTGCTGCTGCTGCTGCTGCTGCTGCTACTGCTACTGCTGCTGCTGCTGCTGCTGCTGCTGCTACTCCTACTGCTACTGCTACTCCTACTGCTACTGCTACTGCTACTGCTACTGCTGCTGCTGCTGCTGCTGCTGCTGCTGCTGCTACTGCTACTGCTGCTGCTGCTGCTGCTGCTGCTGCTACTGCTACTGCTACTGCTACTGCTACTGCTACTGCTACTGCTACTGCTACTGCTACTGCTACTGCTACTGCTACTGCTACTACTACTAACTAGTACTATATATACTATACTAGAACTACTAATACTATAAATAAATATATTATTTCACAATAAATTTTATAAAAGAGTAATAAATTTGTAAATATACTTCACTGCTGTGTGTATCATTTCTAGGTGAAAGAATAACCTACCTGTGGGGCCTGACCGTCCCATGAGTGAAATCCTAAAGTTCAGATTTGAGAATAGTATTTATTCCGGGTATTGAGAAAAGACTATTAAAACCGATTTTACTTTGACTAAAACCGTCTATGGGCTAACCCTACATAGAAGATAATTACAAATATTTTATCAGATGTATTCAATGAGTTTGCTCATTTCATGTTACTGAATCAAACCTGCCTTGCATTTTTATACAAAAAAGTATTATCTACAGTTGATAGTATTTAATCTATTGAAAACATTCAAAATTCTGGCACAGCTTTAAAAAATGTACTTGCAAAAACATTTAGCAAAAAATGCAGTTCATTTCAACAATTGGAACGCTGTGCCAATAGAGTTTTTAAACTTTTTCAAAACGGCGGAACGGTACTCTCGTGGCTCGTATTATGGATACACTCCTGGTTTGCAAAATTAATGGCCTTTAATGTGACTTTTTCACGTTTAATACCCTTGACAATAGACGACGGGTTTGCCGTAGAGTAATAAACTTAAGACCGTAAATACTAACTTTCCTTCATAACTCGCCCTTATGAGTTTTTGGTTTAAACGACGCCGCATCAGGACAGTGAAAATTTGTTTAAATTATACTACGGCGATGGCGGACTTTTTTGACAAAAATATGAAAATCGTGCTTGTATTATTTAAAACTAGGCAAGAACAGAATGTGCGAAATTAATTAATTTCAATAAATGTAACAAAATATATTGGAAATTACAGATATGTCATTTAATAGACAATTTTTTATGTAAGGATAAGACCTAATTACAACGTATTGTATTAAAAACATACAAGAAAGTTACCCTATGTTATATAGGTATAGCACTCAAGTTCAACAGGTTTACTTAAAATAAAACTCCAATGGTACAGGAAAAAAACCAAAGTTGTACTTTAATAACAGGTTCCAATGTAATTTTACTACTTAAATCACCAAATGCCACTTCTTTACAAAAAATTATAGGATAGGTGTTGACAGTCACTATGGAAGCCTAAGTATTGTATAAGTTGTTGATTTGTTCAACTAAAACAGCAATTTTTTAAAACTATATTTTATCTTAGACAAAATTATACATAGCCACTAGAACTATCAAGAAATTAAGTTATTTAGTATTCGGGCGCAACTTTGGATTGTTTCGTTTTTACAATAATTACACTATAAAACGATAAAAAAGACTGAATTTAAACCCAACATACTTGGAAATATTTTTTTTAACGCAAGCGCCGTCGGGGTTAAAAATCGACGCGAATCCCCATAAACTAGTAATGAAAACGACTGGAGAAAGTATCTGTTGGCAGTACATCTTTCTAATCATCATAGATCGAGAAGTGGGTGTGAAGGTTTTGGTTGACAAGAGGAATGTTGAATATTTTTAAAAAGATAGTTCCTACTTGCAGTTTGTTGTTTTCAACGATCTGGATTTCGAGCTTATAGCTCATCATCAGTTTGAAGGAGTTCTACAATCACGTCTCTCGATATGAATTGTATCACTGTTTATTTAAGAGTCTTGCAATCCATGTCGAGAGACTCCTAGAACTCCTTCAACCTGATGATGAGCTATAAGCCCGAAATACGGATCGTTGAAAACAGCTAACTGTGAGCAGGAACTATCTTTTTTAAAAGATTGAACAGCACACTCACTCCATCATTTATCATTTCTACTAGAGGAATGTTGAGTTCGTTGTGAATTGTAAGGTTGGCGACATAGTAAGGAGTTGTAACGATTGTCTGGAGACTTTTGATTGGAAGGATTGGATGCGCTGGACGTTAGATGGCATGTTGTCTCAGTTCCACGCCAAAGTAGTCGCAGTAAAGTCTTGAACAAGGTTAATTTAGTTTTAACGGTCAAGTCAAATTGTGGCTTGTACTTTTTTGGTTTTTGCCTATAAAAATGTATCTGAGTGAATGGAAGTCGGTATCGCTTTGGTTTTGAGGTACAGTGGAAAATAAATAAAAATTAAGAGAATAATATGTACAGACATAAGAATATTTTTCATTTTAGAGATATTTTCGTTAAAATTTTTGAGCGTTTGTTTTCGTTTAAAATCAGGCAAACAATTCTAACACATTGTGCTGGGTATTGGTCTGGGAGTCGGTGAACCGTTGAACGGGCATGAGTCACTTATTGGGTCCGTTTTAACTCGCGGGTAAACTCGGTAATACGGAACCAATAAATGACAAGATGTCGGTTTAACATGACTAAGACAGTTGTAGTAACTGTAAATTACACATATTGTTTTTCTTGTTTTTAATAATCCATTTGTTGTTTGTTTTAGCTTGTAAAATTGGGTTTTAAGCTAACCAGTTTGACGAGATTTTTACCACTTAGACTGAATATTTCGCCTTTTTTAAATATTATTTTGCAATTGCAACATCTCTAAACAATACTTATTTTTTGGAATTGAATCTGTTAATAATTTGAAAATATATTATTACATACTATTTTTTTGTGATTTTCGTTATTTGTTTCATTGATTTTTTCTTGTAAAATGGTTAATTAGTTGTTCCTAAAAATATTTTAACTTACTTTAGAAAAATATAGAAAGAATTATTATTAATAGATGAATAATTAAGAATTAGCGGGCGAATACAATTGAATTACGTATTGAAACGACTTAATTTGTGACCAAACATCGTAACAGAAATATTTTAATGATTTTTACAGAAAGAAACAATCCTGTCTTTTTTGCACCAAAACTCAAAAACTCCCAAGATTCAGTTTTATAAAAAATAGTTTTTAGAAATGATAAAAGTGGGGTGAGTATGTTGTTTAATATTTTTAAAAGATAGTTACTCCCAGTATATTACAAATACTGTGAATAGGAAATATCTTTTAACGTTATTAAAAATTTCAATTAATTAAGGTTTTTAATTGAGATAAACAGTCAGTGTCACGAGCAGGATTCGAACCCACGGTCTTCGGCTAGATACGCCGCTGCTCTACCACTTGAGCTATCGTGACCTTGTCCAACTTCCCATCTCAACACCACATTTTAATTTTTCCTCCTTTTTGCCATTTTTGACACTGACTTTTTTATCTCAACTAAAAACCTTAATTAATTGAAATATATTAATTGGTCAAGGGGACCACGAAAACTAGTGAAGTTATTAACAATATTTTTTTTTAAATATCTCTGCCTTTCAATTTTCTACTTTTTTTTTAAATAAGAAAAACAGTGATAACTGTGAAACCATTACATTGACCCATGAAAACTAAACAGAAATCTAGAAGCACATCAACCACTCATCATGGCACAAACCTGACTTCCGTATATGAATTAAAACCGACGATGAAATTAAACTCACGTATTTTCTCCACATGACGGAAAAACATTGAATCATAGATTTGTAACCTAATTCGTACTTTACCCTCACTCCACCTAACCACAATCCTGATGATATGATTATAACATTATCCTTTAATCATAATTCAACCTAACCTAACTCTTACACTACGTAACGGGTGGAGTAACGAGTCCTACCAAACATAATCCTGACCATAATCAGTCTCTAATCTTAACCCTAACGTTAACCTATCCTAAGCCCACTCATTAGCACTAACAGGAAAATGAGTTTTGAGAAAAGTGCATTAGGTTAGAGTCTGCCCTTAACAGCCTGTCTACTTTTTGGATTTTTACTCTTTTTGATATTAGAAAACTCTCTATAAGTTCAATTGTCGTCTGAATACTGCACGATAACATGCCAATAGTGTTAACAACAGTTATTATTTTTACTGATGTTAATTTGTTTGTGTCGATGTCCTCAGGTGTATCATACATCTTTTTCTGCATTTCAGTTTAGATGAAGAAGTTGAGTGAAAATTGCTCTGAGGTGCCAAGCGGGGGTTACAAGGGATGTCTAGCGAACGGCGGTCTGAAGAAGGATATTTTCGAAATAGTGGAGAACCCTCTGGATCCTGGCACAACATCACAGAGAGTCGTCCTCCTCAGGACGGAGCATGGCACCCACAACGTCACCGTCATCCTTGTCACCGTCGTGTGCGTCTTAGTCATAGCTCTCGCCGTTGTCGGAATTATCTTGTATTCAGTTAGAAAATGCAACGCTGGTAAGAAATAAATAATAAAGAATTTTTATTGTTTCAATCTTTAATATGTTTGTTTATTTTTTAGGCACTAGCGATCCTGGAGTGTGCATTAGTGAGCACTGCGTAAAAACTGGTAATATGGTTTTTCTTGATTGTAATCGAATTCTCTGATAGTTTTGTGTATTTAAAGTGCAAACAAATCGTAAATGCTCTTTGCAAGGGAAACGTTAACAGAGTTGGTTTCATTGGTCGCTGTCCCTTGTAGAAACTAGACCTGTCCTTGGAAAAACAGGATTAATCCCCGAACTCCTTCTCAGATAATTTAAACCAATTGTCTCGTTTACTCTTGCCCTACCAGCGCCCTGCCCGGACCCCTAAAGCAATTGGCGGATTACCGAGGCCTCGACGGGATTGCATAATAAATTAACGAGAAGGTAATCGAGTTGCGACCGGGAATGACATATTTCTCGGCACTGTAAGAATCCCATTAACCGAGAGGCCAGAATCCAACCTCCTCAAAATTGTTTTTTAAATGAACTCCGAAAATTGGATCGGCGGTCGTCCGTTGTGTGTTAAATACGGAATTTAATATAACGTAAAATTCATGTTGAGGCACATTTAAAGAATATTGAGTTTTTAATCTGAAACGTTGATAATAATTATCAAAGATAGATATTTTAAATTATTGTCAAAAATAGATAATTATTTTCTACGATATAATATTCGTGCAACAACAGTTTGGGGTGGTTAGGGCAGGCCAAAAAGCATATGTTCTCAGCCTGTTAAGACACAGACCTGCTCAAGGTCTCATTTTTTAGACAATTTTACGAAAATTTCAAATTGAACTGTGAAGCCAGGAAATCGTCCTGGAACGGCGGCCTGTAGCAATAAATAAGAAATTTTAATATGTTTTTGCTTTTAATTTGCTTTGGTCACCTTCCACTGGGTGAAACGCAGTTATTTATTCAAAAAAGTGAATAGGGAAGCGACAATTCTTACTTTCAACTTTTGGGATGTGGAATGCTTCTGCTGAAAAAGAGGCAGATTTTAACTGAACCGCTTCTTGTTTTGGACAGCTAAATATACTTACGATAATAATTATATATTCCGGGCTGATGAAGAGAGTTACAAGAGCTTTACGATGAGCCGCGATAACCCAGTTAGCGTCGAGTTGAGATTGATGGGGTTTACATTATTGAACACTACGTCAATAATTTCCAGGGGTTGTGCGACGTAACTGTCAAATTTGCACACGTCCATAACTCAGCATTTAGTCGTTTATGTATATAACAATTTTCTGCATGGTGGTTTTAAATGTTTTTTTTCAATGGGGGATCAAAATGTGATGGAGAAAACGATTTGTCCTAAAATTGAAGAATAGCCGCACAACTCACCCCTAATGTAAAAAGGTTTTTTTACCTTTTTTTAAATATATTAGCAATTACATATATGCTTATGTATAGAAGAAAAATTTGATGAACGTGGTTGCATGGCGAGAATGAGGTTCTCAGCCTCCACCGCTGTCTGGAAGTTTCTGTGTCAGAAAGTGACCTCGATGGTCATCTCCGGGTTAGCTTATCAGGTGTTAACAAAGCCACCGCCGTTTTAGCGGTTAGGTCATGGGTTGTAACAAGAATAAACTGTAGTATAATGCATTAGGCCGAAGGTTTTCAAGTTATCTAGGACGTGGAAATGTTTAGGTTTTAGGTTATGAGGATAGATGGTGTGATCCCTTAGATAGAAGGGACATTTATTGTCCGAAGATTTTGTATTAAAAAACTAGATATAAGAAAAATAAAGATGAATCCCAAAAAGTTCTCAAAAAGTGCTACAGCATGCTTGGCACTTTTCAAGGTTTGAAAATAAAGAAAGGACAATTCCGAAAATCATATAAGTTCAGAAAAAAAAAGAGTGACATTGGTCTTCGGACAGAAGCTGAACTGGTAGACAGGAATAACGATTATGGGTGTTATTTTTGGCTGTTTTATAAGAAGAAGCTTCTTGAGCACTTTTCCAACGATCGGAAGTAATATAACATGAAACTTGAGAAAGCAAAATGATGAATGGTGGAGTGAGTGTAGTGTTCAATCCTTCAAAAAGAAAGTTTCTACTCATAGTAAGTAGTTTTCAACGATCCGGATTTCGAGCTAATAGCTCATCATCAGGTTTTAGAACTCCTTCAACCTGGTGATGAGCTGTAAGCTCGAAATCCGGAGCGTTAAAAAACATACTATTAGTAAGAACTATCTTTTTGAAAGGATTTATGAGTGTTTCCGCAGCCGACCTTGTTGATACGGCAAAGAACCTGATTCTGAGTACTCGTTTCTGATTTTAATAAAAATTAATCAGATTTTAGTCCAGTGTGTGTGCTATTTCGAGTAAATCTTTCTGTTTTGGTTTTTAATGATAACAGGAATATTTTTGAGGTAAACGGGATTAAGAGGGAATGAAAACCTTGGCTTGTCAAGTACTAACTAGATTCTAAACAGGTGTTGAACTGAATAGGTGGATTTGACAGGATTATTGTTTGGAAAGAGAATTGCTGTGTCATTGGTAGTTACAAAATTAATTTAAGCTTCTTAGATGTCTACATTTTTGTTCTTCATCGAAGTTTTGGTGTTTTTATAATTAAACATTCCTTACAGCTGCGTCGTTGCTGAACGCCATGGACAAGACTGTCGACCCGTGCGAAGACTTCTTTCAATTTGCTTGCGGTTCGTGGAACAAAAGACATCAGATTCCGGAAGATAGAAGCAGCATAAGCGTCTTCGAGGTGCTCTCGGATCAACTCCAGGTCATTTTAAAAGGTACATCTTTTTTAAAATTAATATTATGCAAGCTACATATCGACTGAACTAAACTTTCCAGGCGTTCTGGAAGAGCCCTACAACACCGAGGACATTGCAGCGACAAGAAAGGCAAAATTATTTTACAAGACGTGCATGGATATAAGTAAGAAATTGTATTTATTTATTTTTATTTAAAGCAATCGGAATAGATTAGTTTAATAATTAATTTTTTATAGCAAACAAAGATCATTCATAATTAATTGCTTTAAAATTTTAAAAATTTAAACACGCAACTTGTCGGTTTTTGAAAAACTTCAGAAACTAAAAATTTAAAAGTGTCTTTGTTTAAAACAGAACAGATAAGAGCTGTTGGTGATAAACCGCTTCGACAGGCGCTTAACAAGCTCGGAGGATGGCCTGTCGTGGTCGGTAAGGACTGGAGGCCCCCGGGCACCTCGATCGAGCACCTTCTTGGTACCTTGAGAGGTATCTACAACGAGGGGGTGCTCATCGAACAGTGGATCGGACCAGACGACAAGAATTCTTCGGTCAACATCGTCCAGGTGGGCCAAAGTAAGATTTTTTATCTTACGTTACCTAAAAGAATTCTATCAGGTGATTATTAAACTAAAAAGCTAGAAAACGTTTACGGCTGATAATTTTATAGATTTATTAAGTTTAATTTTCTCTGTGATTAGGCAATTGAAATCATATTTAGTGATTTATTAAAGAAAGGAATAAGTTGTACTTTTTATAAAGGCTGTCAAGAAGACTATCATAGAAAACATAAAAATAGGGCTTGCCACATGTACAAATAAAAAGAAAAATCTCCAATTATCCAAATTTTGTTACTGAACATTAGTACACTGAATAATTAATGACTCTTATATTAAATTTTAAAATATTAAAACTCCAATCTACTGTGAAAGTAAATTTTAAATCTGGCATATAACTGGAAGTATTTAAATAGTCAAATGCTGTGAAACTTTATTGAAATTTTATAAGCCTAACATGAAAGAAGTATAGGAACAGAAAAGCTGAAACTATAATAATAATATACCTACCTTTTAAAGCCCACATTTACGCTTTTTTGTGCTGAACAGGTGGTACTATGTAGGACAAACTTCAGATTGTTAGAAATATTATCGTAATATTGATCTTAAATAAAGACAGAAGATATAGAATAAGCCAATTATACAAAAATTTACGAGTTGTTCAAATTAAGCTGCTATTTCTAAAATTTTCATGTAAATATTGTTCAAAAATAAAATTGTACCACAATCTCTATATGCATATTCCACTAGGAATAATTACACTTAGAATTTTAATTTATGTAACGACACATTTATGAAAGTTTCTTCTTATGCTTTATGCTTTTGTATTATAATTAAACCAACTTCAATCGTGTAAACACATGTCTCTTTTTGAAAATTAATATTGGATACACTCGGAAAATGTTAAGTTGTATAAGGCATGACTTATCTTTATTTACACTCTTATGTTTATGTGTTTTTAAAATATTTAAATAAATAATAAATTAAAAATAACAGAAATGTGTTAATAATAAATAAAACTTAGTTTTTAAATAAATTATTTTACTGAGCGACTCTCGCCCACATGCAAGAAATTTTTCTTACTGAGAGCAGACTGAATTTTGTTTTCTATTTTAAGTGTACTTGTTATTACAGATATTTATTTTGTTATAATAAAAAATAAACTGCAATTCTTCTTCCATGCAGTACTTTAATAAATTGATTTGTTGTCTCTATGCTTCTTTTATGACGAAGTGATTATATTCTTTAGTAACTTGTTACAAGTGAGAAAAATTCCGTTCTTTGTCACTATAAAAATATTTTTTTGTCCCACTATAGTTTTATCTGTGTACCCAATATGGTTTATTTAAATCAAAATTTTATAGTTTTCATTGACCAATGTGTATCAGCTCAGCAGTGGAAACTACCAAAACAACTTCGTTAAACGATGAATTTATTATATGTCGTAAGTTTGTTCAGTTTGATTATTTTGATTTTAATTCGATTACGATTAAGGTTCACACCAAAACAGACATTTAAAAACTGTTGGTATATTTTTCCGTCATGAACAGAATTATCGGGAAAGTTCTTTTATACGTCTTTTTTTCTTGTCTAAAACAGTTATCTACTGTACAAAATGCACCTTTTCTTCTTCTCATATTTGACTAACTTACTTGCAAAATATTAGTATATATCAGTGTATGTGAACACAGCACAAATATATGTTGAAATACAAAAATATAGAAAAAGCAAAATAGGTCTAGCCTTTCAAAAACACTCAATTTTACAACAATAACAACTAATCGCAGGTGGTAAAAAAAAAAAAAAAACAGTTAAAACGAAAAGAGAATAAATAATGTTGAATGTTTTTATAACAAAAATAACGCAGTAAAAACTTTATGAACCAAGAAAAATTTACTTAAACTTTAGGATGTACATTTGAAACACGTAAGAGTTTATTTTCTAAGTGATTATGTATTTTGTTTGGAAAAGTTTGCAATAAAAAATGAATCTCATAGGGTTTTTAATTGGTGTAGTCAAATTTAGCGGGATTAACATTTTATGAGAAATGTGTGAGATATATATTATGGATTTAAGTCGGGAAAAATTGAAGTAACCTAAAAAGTGATATATCTAGGATAAAATGAAGAATAATACTTTGGATAATAGAGACTTTTTAGTTCAATTTGGTGGATTCAATTGTTGGAGGATAACCTTATGAAACCGTCTGTCACGGGATACCCTGTGCCACATTTTTATGTACGTACGTTTGTAACCCCATTTTTCTTTCTTACGGGTCATTTGTCTGTACGTTATCATAGTCATAAGGTTCTAAATTCCGCATAGAAAAACGGATGACAAGACGTACAACGTAATCCTCGGCAATATTTAAACATTCTTCAAGAACTGAAAAAAAAATTTCACTTATCTTAATCGAAAAGCGAAATGTGAAAAACTAAACAACAAAATGAACGAACACCAAAAACGACATCCTTCTAAAATGAAAGAAGATAACAAAATATAACAAGAATTTTTTTATTTTAAATTTTTGAAATTTTTGATGATTTATCAGAACTTAAATTTCTAAACGGTTTCATCTGTTGATATATTTTATATGATATATACATATATAATATTTATATTTATATGATATATTTTATTAGCATATAATATAAATAAATAAAATTAAATATATGAAGTAATTATAATTGAATTTTTTATTGCTTTTGTAGTTAGATAAACGACTAAGTTCGACAAAGTCTTACTTTTTCGATTTATTTGACTTTAAAAAATTAATAAAATTAAGTTTGTAAAGTTTTTTTACAACATCAATGTGCATGTAAAACGTACTTGGATTGAATATTTTCTCTGATGCTTTTAGGAGTAAATGCTAAACCAGTGCATCAAAACCTCGGTTACGGTTTAGCAGGCTCGCCCCTGTTAATTCAACTGCTTTCTCATCTCTCATTCTTAAACATAAATTACGCGTACACACACACACACACACACACACACACACACACACACACACACACACACACACACACACACACACAAACTGTTAGTACGTTTCTCCCTTAATCTATTCTTCAGTTGGATTAGACATCCCAAGCCATCTGCCGGTGACAAGTCTTGCAAAGGGAATTTATAGCTCTTACAAAACTGGGGGGGGGGTTGCTGGCAAATCTTGAAGCGTTGGCTTATAATGCGTTGTTTAAAAAAAAACTTACCAAGTTATAAAAAGATAAATATGAATTTTAGATTTAACCATTTTTTCTTAAATTTGTTGTTTATGTAATTATTGGTTTGTTAAAATCATAATTCGTCAGCTCCCTGCAATCAAAAAATCAATATAGTCGCAAATATTAACAATATTTTTTTACATTAATGATATCTTGTATCATAAAATAAATCTCGAAGAGTTGTGTACTTTATCCAGATAATTTGGTCAAAACTATCATTATAAAAATTTTTTTTAAAATAATGTAAAGGTAAGGTATGTACAATAAGGACATTAAAGATAAGGAAATAGAAGATGGTTGTAGATATTTGGGTTTCATAAATGTACGGTTTTACCGAAAACATAATAAAAAGAACAAAAAACAAAAAAAATGTGTTCAAAATCAATAAATATTATTGCATGGGCAAAAATGTTAAAAAGTTGATGCAATAAATCATGTTTGTAAGACCACACAGTTTGTAAAGAACAGAATTAAACAGCATGTTGACAGTTTTAGCCAATAGTTATTCAGATAACGTGAGATGCGGTCGGGTGTGATGTAGGTTTCAGAAAAACATTTTCTTTATCGTGCCAACGTTTCGATCTTTATTGAGATCATCTTCAGAGCCTGGGATTTACAAACATTGTTTACATATTACAATTACATTTTGGATGTGGAAAAGTGAATTTATACAATGCAAAATATATTTTTTTATATCTTAAATCAAAGTATTTCTAATCACTCAAAGTGTTGGTCTTCTCTTGTCCGATAACTTCAAAATCAAAAGACAAGGGACTTCAAAATAGCTTTCAAATATTATAAAACAATTCAAACAGTTTTTTCCCAAATTAAAGATCCCAAAATTAATATCTGAATAACTATCGATTAACGGTCATTAATCTCTACACAGTTTAAACAGTTGATCTTTTAGATTACGTCAGATTTATTTGTTATTGGTGTGGGATATAATAATATCTTGAATTTGTATATAAAAAAGAAAGGGAAAAAATAAACTGTGGTTAGTGACGTATGAGAAAATGGATAATGAAAAGCAGTTAAGACCTTCTAAGATAGTGATAGGGACCCTCTCAATGCACCATGACGCATGTTTGGAGCACATCCTTTCAGCCTGGCAAAAGGTTAACATCCAATTTCATATATAAATTTTAACTTTTTGCTAACTTTTTTTACAATTTTTAAATGTTAATTTTTAGTTATCGATGACGAAGTGATGTGTGAATCCCGAATAAATTTGGTATAGGAGGAAACGCAGACATAAACCTAAACGCTCATTTTATGCGAGGTCAACATACTAAATCTTTTTTTTATGTCTTTAGCATAAAATAATCGATAAAGACGTTAAAGAATGTATGAAAATAATAAGGTCAAAAATAGTGTGGTATATCGTTGCTGAAACCGTATCGCGTTAAAATTGCTTATTCGACTAGTAAAACGATTCATGTGAAAACAGAATTAATTAAACGTAGCTAAGTTTGAAATTGACTTCCCTTCAACGGAAGTTTTTATCCAATATACTTGATTGATGTACTGCGGAGAGAGAGAGAGAGAGAGAGAGAGAGAGAGAGAGAGAGAGAGAGAGAGAGAGAGAGAAAGAGAGACTGAGGGGGATATATTTAAATTTAACTAGAAGTGTTATTTAAGATANAGAAAAAGGCGAAGAGGTATACTTTACAGATAGAAAAAAAGTTTTTCCAGGTATACTACTTACAATAACTATAAGGTAATAATGATACTTCTAAATAAATTTGACATAAATTTTATAATTACATTATATTGATAAACGTGATGTTACGTTATAGGTAATGTTACTTATATTAATTACATGAGCGCAAGACCTCTAGAGCAATTTTAATGTTTTTATGAAATTTATATTACAGTATTATAAAAGTAGAGATGTAATCCAAAATCATTCTCCTGGCACAACGTTATTTCCATTCCTTACTAGGGAGGAAATAGAGAAGCGATTTGCGCTTTCTGCCTCTTGGAGGAGTCAGGAAGGATTAGGAATGAGAGGTGTGGACTAGGGGGTTGAGATGACTATCTAGGGTTTTATAGAGTCGTCTGTGTCGATTATTTGCTGTTTCCAGAACAAATGAGATTTGAGGTCTATATGGATCGTAAGGTTCGATGCAAGTAGGGAACTTCGGCAAGGTTTTTGGGCTGGTGGGAATGGATTTTTTAAATATTGGTCTGGTTAAACTCGTACGTACAAATTTGTTGTAGCAATATTGTGCACATGAGGGGTTTGTCTTGATCTGTTGTCAACTTGTCATTTGAATACTTTATATCGTCTGTTCGGTTCTATATTTTCAGATGAGTGCGGGGATTCCAAGAAAGTGTGTTGTCGACGTAAAGTCCCATAGAGCGTACAAAATTGTGTGCTGGGAGAGGAACAAAAATGTAGTAGACTGGAGATATAGTGAATGTTTTTTCAAACAAGGTATATCGTTCAGAAGGTTTCTGAAGACCTGAAGGTTTACTAAAACTTATTAAATTCACTAATTTCGTAGTCCGCTTGACTAATTAATATCTTACAATTAATTAAGGTTTTTAGTTGAAGTAAAAAAATCAATGGCACGAGCGGGATTCGAACCCACGATCTTCGGCTAGATACGCCGCTGCTCCACCACTTGAGCAAGATGTGACCTCGATCCACTCGGACACCAACTTCCCATCTCAACCGCACCTTTTGAATTTTCCCTCCTTTTTGCCATTTTTCAAATGTCGTGTAATCTATTTGATTCTCAGCGACAAATGAAATGGCAACGGAGAGCTTTAATGAAGGTATACTTCATTTTAAACTGATTAAATTAATTAATTTCGTGGTCCGCTTAACCAATTAATATCTTACGATTAATGAAGGTTTTTAGTTGAGATAAAACAATGTGCAGTTTAAATATGTGAGAAGTACATTTTCGGGATCTGCACTGCATACTGAATAAAGAATGAAACCTCCATTTTGGCCTTTTCGGTAGAGAGAACATAACTTAAACAACATTAAAACAATTTCAAAGAAATAGTATAATATCAATGAATTCTTATCCTTTTTTTATTTAAAAAAGTATGTACAAAAATACACAAAAACACACTTTTTATTTATTTTTATTATGTTTCACACGTATATTTAACCATGATCATATTTAAAAATAGATTATCTCAAGTCCTTAAATCCACAAAGTATTTGCCTAATTTTGTAAAGGGAATGTAATTTTCTCATTCCTAAGTAGGTCCATCCATAATTCACTTTTATATACAGAAACAAGCATACGTTATACCTGATTAATGTTTGTATGTAAGTTCTTGGTTGAAATGATAAAGTCAGTGTCACGAGCGGAATTCGAACCGAAAACGAAGTATATCTTCACTAACAGCTGTCCGTGGCCACTTCAGTCACCGAGAGTCGAATCCTGATTATACGACATTTGAAAAATGCCAAAAAGGAGGGAAAAATTCGAAAGGTTGTAGGTTGAGATGGGGAGTCGGTGTCCGAGTGGCTCGAAGTCACGATAGCTCAAGTGGTTAAAGCAGATGCGTATTTCGCAGAAGGTCGTGGGTTCGAATCCCGCTCGTGACACTAATTTTTTTCAATTCAACCAATACCTTACATAAAGATTAATTAATTGAAAAAATATTTTTATTTGAAAAGTAAAATATTTGTATTGGTCTAGAAACCTACTTAATCTTCAATGAAAAATAATTAGAAAAGAGTAAAGAAAATAAAACAATTATATTATATTTTTTCAATTTATCCATTGTAAATTAGATTGAAATTAGGGTCTCCTATTGATTAAACACATTTTTAAATCATTCATTTCAACCAAGACCTTATATAAAATCATTAATTAATTGAAAGAAGTAATTTGGTCAATCAGACCACTAAATATAAATGGTTATATTTTATAATTCGAAAAACATTAAATAATTGAAAATTGGTATTTTTAATATCGGCAACGAACTTATAGTAAATGTATGAATGTTTTCATAAATAGTTATGGTTTGGTTATAGTGTACTTAAAATTCTAGCCGATTTTGAAAAATGTAAGAAATATATTTGACAGAACAAAACCTAATATTTAAAGAAAACCCAGCGTTTTTTTTCTGTTTAGTTTTTAATAATTATATTTATTGAATTCTGTTCAAATTGTTAATGTCTCGCTTTTTTTTGTGTAAGTTAATAAAATATTTCACGCTAAAATTGCTCTGCGAAATCACCTTGTGAATAATCGCATTTTTTCCTGTGTAATGTTTTCTGCGCAAAGCGATGCGACAAAAGCTGGAGAAAATTTATCATCAATGGTGCTAATATGAATTGACGTGGAGACAATTATACATGTTAATCGTATAAACGGGCAGTGATCGTAACTTGTTTAATAATAGATCTATAACGGTAAATTCCACGCTCTGTTTCTGCCAGTGATCGTTTACTCAGTACTGGTTCATTATCATAAACAAACGTAAATTGGCCGGTTGGCGTAACATATAAACCGTTTTTAGCATTTATGTTAATGCTTTATTATTGTTCCAGCTGGATCAAATGAGCCTCGCTCTTCCTTCCAAGGACTATTACGTGAAGCCGACTTCGGATTCTGACTACCTGGAAGCGTATCACAAGTACATGACGGAGGTCGCCATCCTTCTCGGGGCGAACGCCACCACCGCCGGGCCGGAGCTTTTAGAAGTCATTCAGTTTGAAAAAAGGCTCGCCAATGTAAATATTGTTGATCTTCACTTGATTTGTTATCTAGACGTGTGTTGTTTTGCTAGGTTTCTTTACCCGAAGCGGACAGACACGACACGAGCGCTATTTACAGAAAGATGACCATCAGGGAGCTGAAAAGGCTTGTGCCGCAGGTCGACTGGCTCGAGTATCTTAAGACATTTCTCCACAAACCGATCGACGATACTGAAACCGTCGTGACATACGGTCTGCCATATTTTTCTTACATGGGACAAGCTCTGGCAGAAACGGATAAAAGGTCCGTATTTTAACTGTATTTATGGAAACTACATATAATTCACTGTTTTCACTATTCACAAAATAACTGATTGACAGGTAACCAGTCATCAACTGTTATTAGCATATTTAGGGGACCTAACCATCCCTAGCATATTTAAATTGCTAAATATTTATTAGTCTCTTGATTTTTCACGTTTCATGGTAATTTTTATATTTTTTTACGTACCTATCTAAATTAACAACATTAAGCTTAAAATAGAAAATTGCCTTCCCTATAGATTCTCTAAAATAAAATAAATATTCAGTAGAATAATGAAGTGTTTTAAAAATAAGTCTATGTGGACATTTGAAGTTCCAAAAATTCATTGATTACATAATATCATTTTAACTTTTTACCAAAAGTGAAATGTTAATAATCTCTCTTTTATCTCAACCAAAACCATAATTAATGATTAATTAATTGAAAAGAATTTATTTGGTCAATCGGACCACGAAACCTAATAAATGTTAAAAATGTCGATTCCTTTTTTGTTTCATGCTAAATCTTAAGGTTAATAAAGATAGTTATTTTTTGTTTTTTATCAATGCATGTACTGTTACGGTCTTGGTTGAAATGAAAAAGTTAGTGTCATGAGCGGGATTCGAACCCACGACCTTCCGCTGAATACGCCGTTGCTCAAACCAGTTGAGCTATTTTTTCATTTCAACCAAGATCTTACATAAAAAGATTAATTAATTGAAAAAAGTAATTTGGTCAATCAGACTACTAAATATAATTTACAACAGTTATTTAAAGAAATGCAAAGTTGCAATTTTTCAATACTGTTTGCTCAATAAATATTTAATCTATTACAACCAGTCATTTTTGTTAATTTCTCTAGGGTCTTCTAAAAATAATAAATCACTAATTTTTGACGAGGACCTGAATTTGTGACATTTTACGAAACGATTTTCAAATTGTCCCGTTTACACTCGATTAACCCTTTAACGTTTTATAAGTATTAAAAGTACTTAAGCACAACAGTGATTATGAACGGAAGGTCATTCATTACCTAAAATTAATCAATGTATATAGCTATATATAACCCACCACACGTGGTATATCCCTCCTATTTGTATGAATGTATTTATTTGCGTGAATGTCGAAGTATGCATGCGTGTGGCTGTGTCGGAATAACAAGTACCCACAGGCCCACCAAATTAGTATAGATATGTTATATATTTGTAGTATGATGTGAGGGACGGGTCATTGGCATTTCGTTGGTACTATACTTCCGAAGTGTAGTGGCTTGTCCAGAATGAATGTATTTATTAGCGTGAGAGGTGATGCGTGAAAGGACGTGNTATATATATAGGCAATTTTTTAGTTCGTAAGGTTGTTTTTCAAACAGACAAGAGTATTGTAAGAATTTACGAGAAAGCAGTTGTAAGTTCATACAGGCAAAAACATTTTGTTCGGAAATTATTGGAAGAACTTAAGCTTGAAATATCATAAGACCAGTTTCATTCTGGCAAAAAAAAGTGTATTTCCATATAAATTAAATTATTCTGTAAAACACGGTTGCTACTAATTAAAGAATTTTAAAGTTAATTTCTTTCATCATTTTATTTAAAGGTAAAAATTAAAACTGCTCGTTTTCCTCATTCAAAGTGAGGTGTTACTTTTCATCTGAATGGAGTACAATCTAATCAGATCGAAGTACAGAAGGCACCCCTTTAATCCCTGTTTTTTCTCTGAATGGCTTACATTTTAATATTTTTGGAAAACTAGATACGAAAGACTTTATGCAAAACTAGCTGTTAATAACAAAAATATGTATATATAATAAAAAAATAAAAAACGCCCATATTTTATTGAAAGCATCGTAAATAATTTTTAATGTATTTAGTTATAAAAGTATTTATACATTGTTAGATTTCATCATAACAAACATGAACATTTTACTAAAAGGATTGAAAATTACCGATTAAAAACAGTGCTAAAGCACATGTCATCTTTTAGGGATAAATGACTCAATTTTGGTAAGTTATGAACAGGAGACATTGCATTTGGGGAACTGATAGAGGGTTGAACTAATTATGAGTTATGTTTAATGCATTATTTAAAACTGTCTTATTGGATTAATAATAATATTTAAAGATTCGTAATATTTAAGGAACCATATTTTATTTACACTTTATTTATTCTCTTTGACTATAGAGGGAATGTAAGAGAATATTTAGGGCCTTCTTTCAAAAAATATTTTTACATGTGAGGAAATACATACTTCATTAGGTTCTTTAATTTTTAATTTAAAGTCTTGTGTTTATCAGTCCTATCTCTTTGCTAAATAAAATCCTTTTAGAAATCATACATGTAGAAATGTACTGTAGTGGGATATTGCTGCTGTAGTCTCTTTTGTTGTGCTCAATTAAATATATAATAATGTGGTTTTTTTTGTTTTTTATAGGGTGATATACAACTACATTCTTTGGCGGCTTGTGATGACTGTAACTCCTCACATGATAGACGCTTACCAGGCGAAACACACGGAATTCAAGAGGATACTCCAGGGAATCCAGTCGGAACGAAACAGGTGGAGCCAGTGTGTAGAATGGACCAACAAGAAAATGGGCATGGCAGTCGGGGCGCTGTACATCAAAAACAACTTCGACCAGAACAGCAAGGTGGGTTTGGATCGGAGCGGGAAATGGATTCAAAGTTTAGTTCCGAGTATTTCCTGGAAAAAGCAGCACCTTTCTGGCTCCAGGAGCATGTTATAAAAATCAAAATTACCAATGCTATTAAATGATCCTTGCAAATTGTAACTATACATTAGAAAACCGATCAGCAATAATACCATTAAAACAGGATTCAGTTCCTTACCAAAACTAAAAAAATATCCCCTTCATCAGGACTTTGAAATATTAATATCATAATTGAGAAATCTATAGTTTCAAGTATAATGAAAGTAAATATCGAGATGATACAGCTCCACATCAAAGATGACCATGCATTTTACATGAAGCATGTATCATATTTAGGGTTTTTCATGTCGATATTAATGAAAAAACGAAGACTATTTTCGAAAGTATTAAATCCTGGAAAAAATGAAATTACATATATACAAATAAATGTCTTAAATTAATTATTAATTCAGCTTATTATCTAACTTTTGACTTATTCTTATTAATAACACGTTTTACAAGGATGAACTAATAATGTGTAATATATATTCCAAATTTATTGAATTTGATGGATTTGTAGTTGAGCACATACGTTCACATACATACACGCACGCATCGTACATTCTAACTATTTTTAAAAACATGTATGTAAAAGGTATACACATTGCATTATAAACAAAAATGTGCTTGGGGTTACTCAATTTTTGGATTTTTTTTAATAGAAAAGCTCCTTTAAAAAAAATATTCCAATTCTAAATATCGAAATATAATTAATGTCAAAACACAATTTGGATTTCGTAACTCCCACTCAATTTTCAATCGAAAGATAGTTGTAATATAGTCATGATTATTCAGAAATCGTGAGATGCGGTCTGGTGTGTTGTAGATTTCAGAAAAACATTTTCTTTATCGTGTCAACGTTTCGATCTTTATTGAGATCATCTTCAGGGCCTGGGATGTACAGACAATGTTTAAATTTAACAAAAACATGTAGGAAGTGGAAAAACTTTGTAATAGTGCATACCGTGTCTCCACCTACTGCCTAAAACACCATTCTCGCCGATAAACTCAGTTTCCACTAATATACATACTACTTACTATTGAAAACTTATAGGGGCCTCCGGGTACTCAACAGTAAATCCGTGATAAAACATGAAATATGTGAAGAGGCAGATTGAATTAGTTATATAGATTTACCACTCTCAAATTTTCAAAGCAGTGCTCTAATGATGCTAAAATGTTGTCTGTTTAATTAATATACTTGTGTCATTATCACTTTCACTGTCACTACGTTGGAGATCTTTGGCTATCCTGAACCCTCTCTTCAGATGGGCGAGCAGGGTTTGAGAGTATACGCCGGGATTTTTTTTTTGATGTGGTGATTAAGTTTTGTGAAATTCATAAGATTACGGATTGGGCAGTTTGGACGCGGTGGATGTTGGAATGTTCGACTGAAACTCACACTTCCAGTCCGTGAGTCCATATCGGTTTAATTGTGCTATACTAAAACAGCCTCTTTTGCTGATGGGTAAACCATTTGTCAAGAAGTCTTTCAAGAGCATCAACAAGACTACAAGCGTACTCATCGTCAACAAGACAAGATGATCTTTAACGTCCGCACCTAGCCTATTCGGCCTTATCGGCCGTTTTGATTCTCAAGATGAGAGCTGACGCACTTCTGCATACGACGGAATGGTGTTACCGCCGCAGCATTGGTGTAGTGGTGTCCCGGCCCCTAAGGGCCGGTAACCCACGCTCTCCGCTTGTCCACTCCGAATGGCCGGGCCCGCATTGTGCGTCGGGTCGTACGCCGCACGCGAGGGGCTAACGGGCCGAAATACATCAGCCCCCCCCGCATACTCCCTAGATAGAGAAGGCCACTCTATCTCTCTGAGTATAGAGGCTCCCCCAGCGTAGAAACTTCTGGGAACGCACCGGCAGCGGTTTTAGTTTAAAGTGGAATTGCTACCTACCCCCTAGATGAGCACTGTCTACGGTAAAAGTCTCTTATCGAGCTCAGCCTACACCTGCTGCACGCATTCGAGGGACGCCATAGGTCTAGCCTAGATGGTCCGATCCTTCGCTTCCCCAAGGGTACCACGCCGGTCATACGCACAACAATGCAAAGCATACTCGAGTCAAAGACGCCGACTCACTACCCGCTTCTATTCGCTTACTTACGCATTCGAGAGACTGTAGCATGATCATGACGTCCTCAGCGCTTACATGCTGTCGTCCGGTCGCAACGTCTCCCGTGAGGACCAGGGGGTACTACGTTGGCCATACGCAAGCTTCACGAAAGGTCACATATAGAAGACAGCCTCTGTGTGTCACATAGCACTGTGTCGTATAATAACTTCTTGATGTTTCGGTCGTATGTGAGGATTCCACATCAAGCGCCTGTCGACGTACAGTTCGCGGTACCGCCATTGGTAGGGGAATATCATTTAAGTAGACTGAAGGGGAAATCTTTTTATGGAGAGTGAAGATAATGTGGGTGGTTTTATCTGTTAAATTTAACTTTTTTTTTTTACACTCAGACTACTAGGGTGAGGTGTTGTTGAAGGTGTCGAGAAGAAATAACAAGATCTTATTTGCTAGAGAGTATCATCAGAAAAATGTGAATGGTGGTTTGAAGATGGATGGAATGCCAGGTGTGTAAATGGGGTAGCGTGGGGGCCAGAACGATAGCCTGAGGTACACCTGGATAAGGAAATATGGACTGGTATATGGTAAATGTGCAATATGAGATATTAAGCGGAGGGAGTGATGCTATTGAGCACGAACAGCAAGCCCTAGTGGCCGATTAAATCGTTGGCTTACGTCAAGAAAGACCTCAGAACAGTACTGCCTCTTCTGAAGGGAGGAGGAGATACACAATAAGTCAAGATTGGTTTAAAAAGCTGATGATAAATAAATATTTTTCCAGAAATGTTTCCCTTTTTTCCAAGTGTTTTTCATTTCGTTTAGAATCGAGTGTCATACTTAGACACTTCGCTGAGCTTTTTTCAAAAAGTTTTTCCATTTTTAATGATTGTACTGCTGTGAATTTTCTCGTTGTAAAATTGATGTGTACTGATATACTTCCATTTATATTATTGTTTATTATTATCCATTTATACAATACGTTGTTAATGTTGTGTCCATCTGTCAATCTTGTGTCCATCATGGGTGATCACATTTTAGAGTAGTTTTACTATCACTGCTCCGATACTACTTTCTACTAACAAAGCTGCTGTCGACCTCTTGCTTAACACACTTAATAGTCTCTGTAAAGGGTAGAAGAGAAGTTGTACATACTGAGAGGAGGTTTTTTTAATTGATGCTTTAAACCTTCATGCCAGACTATATTAAAGGCTTGAAATACGTGCAGGAAAACAGTAGAACAGAATTGTATGAGGTATGAGGCTCATTTTTTATCAGAGGCCTTAAACTTCTGTGCAATAATTTCTCTAAGAACTGGTATATAACGATAAAAAACCACATCGAATATGTTCAGAATTTTATCTTTATTCCAATCATCACAAGCCATTTCACGTTTAAAAATATATTTATTTAATTTTTTGTCAAAAAACTAATTCAAACCACGAATTATTAAAATTTGGTCGGAGCTTACATCAAAATTAAAATAAATAGAAAAAACGATTTGTTCTAATAATTTAATTAATTTTATCTTTTTTCACGAAAGTTTTCTATAGCCGCGTCGGTGGCAAAATACCCCAGCATGATTTTCCCATGGTTTTTATTAATACCTAAACCCCTTTTAACCGCGAATTATGCAAATGTATTATATCTAATCATTCCCGGTTTGAAACAATTATTAATCCAGAAATCCTATTATAATTTTTGTTTTACTCGACCTTTTGGAAATTCATGATTTCGACATTAATGAAAACGTTACTTAAGGAGGAAAAACATTTTTTTTAAACAAGCGCTTCCGGGAGTTGCCATACAAAATATATGTGAACACACATCCAAGATTTAAACCTGATCGCGGCCCAAGAAATTTTCTTGATAAATAGGTAATAAGTATTATTATTTGGATTTTGGACAATTTGTTGAAAGTCAATCAAAATTATTAAAGAACAATTTAACTACATCGAATATTTCGAGGAGAAAAAATTTAAAGTTCCAAAAACAAATCTACAATTCAATTTCTTCACTTGTCAAATAAACTTTTTTTACCAAATAGTAACCTACATTTTCATTTTCAATATCATTGAGTTCAGGAGATTTTATGACAAATGGATACAACCATTTGAAATTCGGTCCGGAAAAGTGTTAGATATAGTAAAACGCCTAAAAACACTTCGCCAATGAATCAATCAGTCAAAAAATATTTTTTTATATATTTTATTTTTTATATATTTATTTTTATTTTTGGTTTTTACCACTTAAACCCGCTGGACTACTTTGTTGTGGGTGACTTAAGAAATAAACTTAATAAAAAATTTATTGCCTGTAATGTAAATTTGGTAAATAATTAGCACAGTTATTATAAATAAAGATAATACATTTCCTGATGTTTTTTCTATTAGTTATGTAAATTTACATTGCCCATTTAAATCAACACATTTTTCAATTTAAAAGAAACTTTTATGACATTGTGTTTAGCAAAATAGAAAAGCTTAAAAAACATTTTGATTTAAGCAGTACAGAAGTTTTTAGCAATAGGTGTCTGATTAATTGTGTTATTTTTGGAAACCTCTAATTTTTTTGAACCTATTTTAAAATGGCTTTTGCCAATTTTTATAAAATCTATTGAACGTGATTTATATATGTTCGGTGACTAAAAAGTTTACGGTAAAATAGTTACCATTTGAAAAACAAGTACATTTTTAAATGGTTTAAGAAATGAACAAAAATTATGATTAGAGCTATGTTTGACAACAGAGATCATGTTAATTTTTTTTGTTGGTTCTGCAGTTTTTTGTAGAAAACAAGGTGAACTTTGTTCGTTTACCCCTTAAATATAAAACAAGATCTATCATTGATTATCGTACGCAATGTTTCAGTATTCATTCCACTGATTTGAAAAGGTGTTATTCTTTAGTTTATTGAATGCCAATTATCACTCCAAGACAAGTTTGGTGGGATTATTTGTTCTTTGCAATTTTTAAAATTTCCGGCATAAGTTTTAAACCGGAATACTTCGGAAATTTAAACGGAAAATTTGAGTAATGCATAGTTTAAAATATCTCTTCTAATATCTCACGACCGGTGAAAATATTCGAAAAGTTCATATGCACAAAAATCGGAAGAGAAACAGATAATTATTGAACTCGCTTTAGAATTGGAAATAAAAAGAGTCAATCAATTCTAAACTTCAGCATTTTGTGACTTTTAATCAGATTTAAACTTGTAGCTCTTAGCAAACTGAAAACTCGTTTAATAAGGAGCATTATTAGAGATTTCAGCCCGACGATCCTTTGATCTTTTCCACTCTTCCATTGCAAATTTGAACTTCCACGATATTAGACCCTGTTGAGAGACTGGGATCGTCTTACGCGTGGATTTTGTTTGTTGAAACACTGTTTATAGAATGAAAAATTAAAATACTTAAAAGACCGTTTTTCGTATGGTCGTTTTTGTTGCAGAAAGTCGCCTTGGAGATGATTCACACAATCAGGGATGCTTTCAACGAACTTCTCGAGGAGAACCACTGGATGGACAACGAGACGAGAGCAGTGGCGAAAGAAAAAGCGAACGCGATGAACGAGAGGATCGGATACCCCGAACTACTGACCAGCCCTCAGGAACTCAACAAAGAATACACATTGGTAAGTAATCCATCGGTACTTTATCGTTCGGCACTACAGTTACGTTCTTTTCTCATCAGCTGAACGTGACCGACAAGCAGTTTTTGGAAAATATATTCAACATATTTCACTACGATGCTCTTCACAATCTTGAAAAGTTTCGTCTGCCCGTCGATAAAGACAAGTGGTCCACAGAGCCGGCAATAGTGAACGCTTTTTACAATCCGAACAAAAACGATATCGGTAACGGATAAAAATTACAATGAGATGCATTAGGAAGAATTATTTTGATAATTTAGCTTTTCTTTTAAAGTTTTTCCAGCTGGGATTCTACAGCCTTTGTTCTACAGCCGACAGTCTCCGAAATCACTCAACTACGGCGGGATCGGCGTTGTCATCGGACACGAAATCACCCATGGATTCGACGACAAAGGTGAATTTGCCAAAATCTAATTATCTTCATATGACAATATGCCGTTCCTTTATTCGCTGGTTATTGGCAAATTCAGAACGGCTGGGAACGTTGCGTACGTCAATTGATCCCGTTTGAAATAGGTTTGACTCTCTTAAGCTATAAACCTCAACCGTTGTGATCACTTGCGAAACGTTTGGACCCGTTTTTACGTAAGAGAGTGAATGATCTCTATTATTAGACTTTGTTGGCTCGTTATGCTTCATTTTGATCTGATGGAGATCAAAGCGTTTCCTAAATGGACAGTATCAATCAAATCATTGAACAATCCGTAAAACCATTTAGAATATCAGTAAGTTTTTATTATTACATTTAGTATATGTTAATTACGATTAATTTGAACTGGCAATAGATCAGTTCTGTAACGATTTAATTTGATTAACACAAGAAAATGTTAGGTGCTGATAAAAAATTTAATTTCTTCAAAATTTGTAAACGACTACAATGAAATAATGATAGAAATAGGAGTAATTAATTAGTGGGTGTCGGTCGCCGCAACGGTTTAGGCGTTGACACGGAGCTCATCGCTGGAAGGTAAAGGTCCCGGGTTCGAATCCAGCGGCCCTACATTCGAATGCGACATGCAAATGGGCTTTTATTTCAAAAACATCGGCACTCTTAGGGTTTATACAACCACTGCTGTTGCACTCTCGGGAAAAAAATTAATCAGTATTATTTTAAAATATCGTATTAATAAACCCATTATAATAAAATAATAAATGANGCTCACCAAAAGAGAATTAGTAAACAGAATCGTGCAGACAACTGAAGGTGTCAAAAAGCCGAAACCGCATCTTACCAACCCACCGAGGATAGACTAAAGCTGGAAAAGTTGAGTTTTATTGAGATATGCTATTCGACAAAAAATTAACTTTTTCAGAAATTATTAATTTTGTTTATAAATTTCTCAAAAATGAATAGATATATTTATAATTTGTTAATCTTCTCAATGAACCCGTCGGTCCTCGACCAAACAACTCGAGATTTGCCAAAAGAATCTCGAGAAGAACCGGGTAAAAGAAATATAAAACAACACACATACATGTAAAATACAAAATGTAATTTGGCCTTATGAACTCAGATAAAATAAAAATATGTTATTACAATAAATGTCATGTAAGAAACAAACCAAAAAAATGTCTTTTTAAAAAAAATAAAGAATTCCTCTTTACAGAAAAACAACAAAATGTTAACTTAGATAAACCAAATCAATTCAATACAAACACTATTGCAAATACACTTAATTGAACGAGGAGCGGGCACACTCCAGAAAGAAACAAGGATCCAGGAATTAACGGAATAAAGGAGTAGGCTCACCGTTGTTGACTGCAGCGTCTCCGAGCACTTAATGCATTTCTCCCCGCTTTTCTTACCACTCCTCGAGGAAGAAGTTCCCCACCAGGGTTTTTGTATACCAAACAAGCAAAATATATGCAATAATTAATTTTGCAACCTTACAAATTATTACAATTAATTAAGGTTTTTAGTTGAGATAAAAAAGTCAATGGCACGAGCGGGATTCGAACCCACGATCTTCGGCTTGATACGCCGCTGCTCTACCACTTCAGCTATCGTGACCTCGATCCACTCGGACACCAACTTCTCATCTTAACCGCACCTTTTGAATTTTCTCTCCTTTTTGCCATTTTTCAAATGTCGTGTAATCAATTTGATTCTTGGCGACAAATGAAATGGCCACAGAGAGCTTTAGTGAAGTGTACTTCATTTTTAAATCATTAATTCACTACTTTGGTGGTCCGTTTGACCAATTAATACATGACAATTAATTAAGGTTTTTAGTTGAGATAAAAATGCCAATGGCACGAGCGGGATGGAGCTTTTTATCTCAACTAAAAACCTTAATTAATTGTAATATATTAATTGGTCAAGCGGACCACGAAATTAGTGAACTTAGAAATTATTCTTATTCTGTTAATTTTAATTACATTAATAGATATATTTTTGTCAGTTGTATAAAACAAGATAGAAAATACAAACCATAAATGAACAAATGTTAATTCTCATTTTTTATAAGGGATTTACATAAGAATAGTGAACATGAAGATTACTCATTTTGTAACCAAACACCTTTTCTCTATTTTAATCTAGATGTATTCTCTTTAACACTGGAAAGACATCATCCTGAACTAGAAGTTATTGTGAGAATGAGTCATGGAGGTCACCGGCAAGTGGATATCGCAGAGGCAGTTGGCGTTTCTCAGAGCGTGGTCTCCCGTGCTTTAGTCCGATTCTGAGAGACTGGAAGTGCCAATAGAAGGTCTGCTAGTGGATCTCTGGCTAGGACGCTAAGCAAGGACAGAAATATTGCCATTGCTGCAAGACGGAACTCTTTCCATAGTTCCTCCATCCACGCCGGATCCTAAATGAAGTACAAGATGTTTTGGCAAGGCCTTTATCGACACAAACGATTCGTAATCGTTTTGTGGAAAGTTGGCTTCGCATTGTCTGCCCCTTGAAGACGACCTGAGGCAACAGCCGGCCACCAGCAACTCAGGAGAATATCGTGCAGCGAGCGCCTAGAAGAGAACACGAATTGGAATGCTGTTATGCTTACTGATGAGTCACGTCATAGCGGGTGCCGAAGAGCCTACCAAGAATATGGGATCCGTTCAGTGCCCAGTTCGTGCTCCCTTCAATTTGGAGGAGGCGGTGTAATGGTCTGTGCTGGGATTTACACTGGAGGACGAATTGGAATCCATATTGTTGAAGGCAACGTCCTCGCATTCGTTATGTCCATGAAATTATCAAGTAATACATCCCTCAAACCAGGGGCTCATTAAAGGGATTTTAGATTTCTGAAGGACATGGCCAGACTTCTAGAGGCAGAATTGTTCATCAATGTTTAGTGAACCTGGGAATTTCTCACTTGCCCCTTCCCCCATAGTCTCAGGACCTCATTCCCATTGAATTCATATGGGATGCGTTGCAGAGAAGGCTTTTCGCTCACCATCCGCAGCCAGTTGATCTGCAACAACTGACTGCAGGGTTGCAACATCTATGGAATAAAATTTCTTATGAAATTAGTGACTACCTTATTAACAGCATGCATAACAGGTGCCCAGAGGTTTTAGCTAACATAGGACATTATATATGGTATTAATTGCTTAAAAAATGATTGTGGCCCATAAACAAAATTATGAAACCTTTTATTTTGTTATTTTTCAAAATCCCATAATTAATTTTCCTCCCGGAAAAACATAATATTTTATAATAAATTTTAATACAATTTATAATAAAAATAAAATAAAAATGCTAGGGGAAGTAAATATTACAAAATTGGCAATAACCCTATCCATTTTTTGCAGTTTATAAATTTTGGGTTTAATGGTTAAACGAATTTTAAATAATTTCATGAAGATTTGTTTTGAGCAAGAAACAAACAAGCAAGGACCTTTCATAATTTTAAACACTTTTCATTTTTCGGTAGTTGATCAAACAGAATTTAATGAAAGTTGGATAATTGAATAATATGGGTACTTTTATGTACCTGTAGAAAGCATTTCATCCTTTCCACTGAATTTATGATATTAAAATATTTGTCTATTACGATAAATAAAAAATGTGATCATTTTATGGGTCAAAATTAAAGTTATTTAATTATATTTCTAACAAAATATTTTCAATTGTGGAAGTCAAGTGTACACGATGCTTATTAATAATTTTGAGGCAGGTTTTCCATTTTCCTAGAGATGTAAAAATTGTGTTCTACCTAGAATGGACCACCATTCCAACCATATATAAACGTTTTTCGTTTTTCTATTGAAACTTGATAATTGGAACGTTGCAACAATTTTTTAAAATTAAAGGTTCTTCACTTGATTTTGAATATTTGTAAGTTCTGTTGCTTTAAGGTAAAATATGTGTTGGTCTTACACTTTCCCTGAAAAATAAAGGTAGTAACACTTGACTGTGACAAAAATTACCTTTTCTACTATCATAAAATAGGAAATTAAGTACTTTAATGGCGTTAATGCATAAGATAGCTTTGAAACTTCCTTTGCCGGTTTGTGTTCGCTAGTTTTGAAGTTTTCAAACCTCTCTGCATTGTTTATTCTGTGAATGTCGTTTTCATTTAACATTCTCAACTTTGTTTAGTTGGTTGTTTAACCTTTTCTAGAATGCCACAAATATACAAGAATGTCTAATCTTAATGTTATTTTCATCAAAATTGTGCCAGAGAAAAGAAAGGAAATTTGCAAAAACTGTGAATTATGTTTAGAAATGATTTATAAAAATATATTTGGTTGATAGCTGTGAAACAATTGGAATATTTGAAATTGACATATTTTTACAATTAAAATTGTTAATCTTAATCTTCTCTTCTGAATATTTGCCACTGTTATTGTTCTAAGCATATTAACTACAAACGTTTTTAAACAAAACTAGTATGGTTTGGATGTTTTTAATTGGATTTTTTTATTCTGATGGATGTTGATATTACGAAGTTAAGTGCCAAGTTTACTGGGGGTGCACATGATTGGTGGTATGTTCTTCCACCACCCGACAGAATGCGCATAAGTGCACTGGTAAAGGTAGTACAAACTTGTAGGGAAGATTTTTAATAAAGTTTTTTACCAAAGGCTTTTCTCTTGTACTTTTTTTCTTTTTTATGGTTTAACGTTTTTTGCTTTTCACGATTCTCAGGGCGTCAGTTTGACAAGGACGGAAATATGATGCAATGGTGGAACAACGCGACTATAAACAAATTCCGCGAGAGGGCAAAATGCTTCATCGACCAATACAGCCAATACAAACTGCCTTTGGTCGACCAGTTCATAAACGGAAGGATGACACAGGGGGAGAACATCGCCGATAACGGAGGACTTAAGCAATCCTTCAGGGTATTTAAAAGTTTATTTGATAAAATTTTTCCCTTTGAATGCTTTGTTTGCATCAGACATTTATTCCAGGCGTACAAGAAATGGGTGGCGCAGAACGGCGAAGAAAAAAGGCTGCCTGGAATGGAAGATCTTTCGCACGATCAGCTCTTCTTCCTAAATTACGCGCAGATCTGGTGCGGGACGATGAGGCCTGAGGACGCCCTGACGAAAATTAGATCCGCGGTCCATTCTCCGGGGCCAATCAGGGTCATCGGACCTCTCAGCAACCTGAAGGAGTTCTCAAAGGCGTTTTCCTGCCCGCTCGGATCTCCGATGAACCCCCCGAACAAGTGTTCTGTCTGGTAAAACGGAGTCGCCGGCTTTATTCACCGCCGGGGTTGAGCCTTTATCGCTCTTTGATTTGCACGACGAGGCCTCGCGGCGCCAAACTCACTTTGGGCGAATAACGGCGAATGTTGAATAGTAAGTTGTCTTTGTCAGGTGTTCAAAGTTTTTGAACAAAAAATTAAATTTCTTAAAAACAATTACATTTAATATAAATTATACGTAACACATTCCAAAATCGTATAGCACTACACGGAAAAGTCATTAATTTCTAAATAATAATTTCGTTTATTTATTTTCCTGTATAATAATTATAATTTAACTATAATTAAAGACCAAATACTCAGACAGTAGAGATTTACATTAGAAATATATATCGATCAATCTGCTATGAAAATAGCAAAAACTTTTGAATTACTGAATTTACAGCCTTTCTTAGTACATAAAAATAAACTTTAAAAACTACTTTTTAAATAGCATTAAAAATCAGTTATTAATTTTTTTTGTAAAATTGTAATTTTTTCCTGTATTGATTAAAGAGATTAATAAATGTTCTGAAATTTTGCCTGAAGGGTAATTTTGATATTGATAATTTGTTCCTACCATGTCCATCTGGTCAGTTATCCGTTCATCCGCGAGGTATATCTTCTTTTATGTTAATATCATTATAAAATGAACATCTACCACGACGGCACTGTTAGCCGAAACGGGAAATCTCGAAGTAGGCGATAAACTTTTCCAATTTTCCTTATGTTGATTTACGTTAGAAATGGTTTGAAGAATGTGTCGATATAAGAGATATTTTTACACCTGACAATGAATAACTGCTGGACTGTATTTGTCCCGAATTCCTCATAGACGTAAAGATTTCATACAATGCAATCCAGTGAGGACTGGAAGAAATATCCAGTGTGGGTTATATCTGATATCATATCAAAACAAATTAATTGCGATGTTGAAACATTAGAGTTTAGCTTAAAAAAGATGAAAATTATTTAAAAAAATAACAAAAAAACAAAAAAAAGCAACAACAAAATTGATGCTTAGACTATTCAAACATTTCCAAAATTTTGTTTACAAAAAAATTCATTTGTTTGAGAATATTGTAAAAAACCTTTAATTATAGCTTCGTGCGGTAGAGGGAATGTACATATCTTTCATTGTTACAATTAAAAACAAAATTGTAAGGTCAAATTTATTATTGCGACTGGTCGTTTGTGCATTTTGTTTTACACGACGAATAGTTCCCTCAAGTACCTGAAAAGACTGTTAAACAGGGATGGATGCACGATAATTGTATTTTATTATATGTACCTGACGCACTAAATTTTAATTTTTCACTTCTTGTATTTACGACTGCATAGGACAGTCATGGTTTGACCTTACAAATATATATATATAAATATATATATAGTTATTTGAATAATCGTGAACAATTTGATTTTATGTGTGGGTTGGTTTATTTTTGCCTTTTTTTAATCTTTTTACTTTTATATGTGTTTTATTTTGAATGCACACAAATAATTCCTTTAGACTTGTAGCCATTTAATAAATTAAAAACCAATTAAGGGACTCATTTTTTACGATTAATTATGTAATATTTCTAAGCTAAAGCCTTTCCATTTTGTATTTGAATTGTGTAAAGAAGTTCAATTTTTCAGAAATTATTTCATCACCTCCCACATATCTTGTAAATATTTATTGACAAGAATTTAATAGTTAACATTGAATTAGATTAGTGAAAATAAATTTTAAGAACAAAATGTAAATGTATTTCAAAGCTTAAGCAAAATGTTTTATCTTCAAAGCTTATTTAAACCAAAAGGCGACTTTTGATCATGACTTTTCATCATCTATGGCATATAAAACAATCAAATAACTAATTGAAAAAAAATGTTTCTTTGAACAAATCTCCAACTTGCTTATGAAACAAAAATTTAACAATGTTTATAGAAATATTTTTAAATAACATACGCACATTAATTATAAGGTTTACACCATGCGTAAATATTTGCAAATAAGCCTTTTCAAATTAAATTTGTATCGGTATATTGATTTCAACTAATAAACTGCAAACGCTTTTCAGTTGTTCAGTGGCATTTGACATTTTAGCCTTATTTTATTGGATATTAAAAACATTAATAAACACAGAAGAGCGTGAAACTCAAGGTTTTTCAGACGAGTTTTATTTTGTAAACACCTGACAAAATATTACATGTTGTATGGTTAATTTCTGTCGATATTTCCTCCCGAGAAACAGGAACGCTGAATTGCAAGAGAAGATGCCGGGTCAATACATTTTTGATTGACTGCCCCATTCATTATTGATAGATTATGTTTTTAGGCAAATTCCAACATGCATAGTACTTTAAGTCACCTTGACCAATAAACAAGTTGAAAAACTAATAAATCTTTTGGAAGGAAAAGTTCTTTCAGTCCAGGGTAGACATATAAAAAAATGTTTATTTGCATAAAAACAATGGGCTCACATATTAAAATATCGACAAGTTTAATGTTACACTTAGCAACATTTTAGATTATTAACATATGTGAAATAAATTACAAGAGACAATGGATTGTGCCTTTGAACAGTCGGCAATTTTTTTTATAATTCTACTTTTATCGCTTTTAAAAAATCTTTTTGTAACAATTGATAAATAGTGTTTATTAATTTAATACAAACTGTTTAGGTCATAAGGATAATATACTGTGCTCTTCTGCTGAATTGTTTTATTTTCACCCCTATATCTATTTAATTGTTTATAAAGGAAATAATTTGAATATGTAAAAAAAAGATTAAATGTTTCTTTCTAATCCCTCGTTTTCTTAACTAGGCTCTACAGGGTGATTCACTCACTAATCTACGATAATGTCGGTCAAGTGTTTTTGCACTGAATCGTTTTATTTTCACACCTCTTTCTATTTAATTGTTCATAAAGGAAATAAGTTGAATATCTAACAATAAAGATTAAAAGTTTATTTCTAAGGCCTAGTTTTTTTAATTAACCTCTACAGGGTGGTACACTCATTAATGTACGATAAAGTTGGTCAGGTGTTTCTACACCACCTAGAATAGAATAAAAAAGTACGTATCACGATGGTCCGACACACAACTTTTTCGTAGATATCGTATGTTGTTTTTGAAATAATCTACTATTTTCATCATAAATCTACATTATCTCGTTAAATATTCAATATTGGGCAAATACAAAAAAGGTATTGGAAAAAGCGTTATATTTCCTCTTAGAAGTCACTGATCTATAACTTTCAATTTAGTTTGAGGTAAAGAAAAACAATGTTCGCAGTTATCGTGTTTGTTGTCAAGATTATTATTATTATTCAGAAATCCTGGCATGCGGTCTGGTGTGATGTAGGCTTCAGAAAAAAGGCACTCTCAACACGACACGCAAGAATGGCACAACTACAGAGACAAACACTTTGAGCCCTGAAGATGATCTCAATAAAGATCGAAACGTTGGCACGATAAAGAAAATATTTTTCTGAAACCTACATCACACCAGACCGCATCTCACGATTTCTCAATAATTGTCGATTAACGGTCACTAACTACCACACTTAAACAGCAATGTTTTGTTTTCGTGCCATACTTTCGACTGTATAGTTAGTCATTCTCAAGGCGCAACAATTCAAATACAATTAACAATACACTAATTCAAGAAGAACTACACATTTCTTTTGTTTCGGACTTGAAAAACAATGTTCTGAACTTATAAATAGTTACGAACATACAAAAATCACGTTACAAGTAACAAAATAAATGCATTCCTTTCTTTATACAATATCGCTCGAAGAAGATAACAGGCCAGTTCTATATTCTTCTAATATCGAACGCACTAATGTAAAATTTCTCTTTGTTGGAAGGTTTTTAGAAATGTCAGAACTAATACATAAATAAGCACATTAGTAAATACATAAATATATAAAAAAATACTAAGTACATGCATTGTCAAGATTAAATCTACTTTCTAAAAATATGTTTTTTCGTAAATAAATTTGTATAAATTGTACTAATGTTATTGTATTCAGTTTTCAAGGTGCAATCATTGGGATCTTTATGTACCGTTCTAATTTAATATCCAACGCACTAATGGAAAATTTCTCTCTGTTGGAAGGTTTTTTACAAATATCGGAACTGATATCAATAGGTATCCAATTTTGGTAAATCTAATAATATAAAACTAAAAATATGTCCCATTAACGTTTTAAAAAAAATTCAACTAAATTAAATAAATTGCTTAAAAGAAAAATAGAAAATGTCAAAGTTATTCAGAGGTTTGAAAACAAGATAGGAAAAGAAGTTACAAGATAAGTAAAAAAGAAAAATATCAAATGTTGTATAGTGTGTAACGATTGCTCCACCGTGACCATGGTCGATTAAACGTTTTTTGGGCCCAGCGCATTAAGGCCCATACATATGATTCGCAAAAACCATAGTAGAGCCGGAACGAGACTTTCGAAGCATTCAATAGAACACAACTTTAAGTTAAATATTGTCGACATAAAAATTGTATACGTTGAAAAAATTCTAGAGCGTAGATTACTCAAATAATCTACGTATTTACCAATCTATGTAAAACATCCCAATGCTTACAATATGAAAACTGATTGCAATAATACTACGAAAATTTATTCCAATTTACTTACAAAAATAATTTTTTTTTTAGAAAGTAGATTGTAATCTAGACAATGCATGTACATGGGATTTACTTATATATTTATGTATGTATTTATTTATATAGTTATGTACTTATTTATTTATATATTTATGTATGTATTTATTTATATATTTATGTATGTATTTATTTATATATTTATGTAAGTATTTATTAATATATTAATGTATGTATTTATTTATATATTAATGTATGTATTTATTTATATATTGATGTATGTATTTACTTATATATTAATGTATGTATTTATTTATATAGTTATGTATTTATTTATTTATATATTTATGTATGTATTTATTTATATATTTATAATTTTTGGGAAATTTTGCATAAGTGCGTTGAATATTATGAAGAACGGCATCTAACTGGCCTGTTATCTACTTCGAGCAATATTCTATCGTGATAAAGAAAGGCATGCTTTTATTTTGTTTCGTGTAACGTGATTATTGTATGTTCGTAAATATTTATAAACTTAGGACAATGTTTCGAAAAGAAAAATGTGTATTTCTTGACTAAATAATAGTCAAAAGGTTGGCAATAAAACAAAACCTTGCTGTTTGTCTTGACCACAAACCTGATAACTAAGTGCACTGAATAAGCTGGTTGTTAATCTATATCGCTATGAAAAACATCTTTCAAAAACTGCTAATTTCAAAATTCATAAAAAATCTAAATTTGCCACCTCGTTGAAAAATTCGCGGAAGAGCTGGCAAATTTCATAAAATTTTTTTCATTAATACTTTTTCTAGTACCTAGTTATACCTCTTTCTTTATTTACATCGAACCAAAATGCAAAATTTATGCGCTAAATGGGAAAAGAGTGGTTCAAAATGGGGTAGTGAGATTAATCTTATAATTTAACTTTTTGTTTGCCAACTTTAATTTAATAAACAAAAACGCGCAAAAATCAAAAATAAAACAAACACATAGAAACGAGACAATAAACATAGCGAACAACCAAAGCAGCAGCAAAATCGAACACAATATCTCCACGAAACACAGACAAAACAAAAAATAGCAATAATAGAGAAGCTGTTAAACTCAACTTTAACCTAAGAAAAGTACAAACAAATTCAGGGTAAAAATCAAACAGAATACATAAAAAAGGCAATAAACACAGTGAATTTTCCTTTTTTATCCATGGAAACTTTCCGAACCAATCAATAAATTCAACAAACCACACCTCCTTCCGAATTTCTACCATCCAATCATTTTATCTCCAATTCTTGTTATACTGCTTGAAAAACTGAAATATTTCTCATCTTAGGAACCCTGCTAATATAATACTCGACCATCAATTTGGATTTAGGAGTCACCGTGCAACTGTATGTGTTCAATAGTGCCATCGTGTTATCGAGATCACTCTATCTTCGTCGATGCCTAACGCACTTTCTGTCGCGTCTGGCACCTGAGTTTGCTCAAGGAAATCCTTTTAGGATACACTCCTCTTATTCTCAAGTTTTACTTACAGGTATTAAAGACGGTGTCCCTCAGCCCGTGACTTATTTAGTAAATACTGCTCATCAGAACCTTCCCTTCCCGACACCACTTACAACAACCTACGTGTAGGGTTCTAAGGCCGTTCCGTTGAGCCTTCATCTTGCAGTCCTGATGTAAATGAAAAACTTTCCGGCTTGCTTTATAATCTCATTTTCATTTAAACTAGGATTTCGTTCTTTGTTGGATGTGATTTTAAGGAATAAAGGAAGGAAACCTTGTTTCCCTATTTTGTGAAAAATCCTGCTCATAATTATGAGATGTATACCTAGTCTTCTCTGCGTTGGCTGTTAATTAATGTTACATCTCTTACACCGTTGTGCACATTTGAATGTCCAATTGATGCCATTATAAAGAAATTAAATGAAATCAACGAAAGATAGAAAAAAAACGCAATTCAGTGAAAATCAGTTTTTATTATAGTAGGTTGTTTGTATAGGTGTGATGTATATACATGTATTGTGGTCTATTCTGTAGTTAAAACCTGAGGTACAAATGAGAGGCTAGCAATTTAGGATATCGACGTAGTATACATATAAAAGCAGAGAGTCAGTAACCAGTTCAGACCCAAATGTCTGCTGTTTAGAACAAAATACGTGTGAAAGGCCAGAAAAAGAAGTAAAACACGCAGGGTGACCTCAGCTGTTTCTCCGCCATAAACCACCAACATTATATAGTGTAGTTGGATGGGGAAGCAAATTGTTACTATTTAACGAAAAAGGAGTTAATAAAGATTAAAGAAATAAAGCAAATATTTTCAGTTTAATTATCAAATATTATAAAACGCAAAAATGAAAGATCATTTATTTCATTAAGAAGAAAAAAACAATAAAAACAAAGCGATAAATTTGTCCATTAGTGTGTTAATTTCGAGTAATTTTAAAATCAAACTAAAACGTCTCAAATTTGTTAATGTAAGTGAGCTGTTTTTGTAATAAACATTCTAACAAGCTCGAAGATCTGTCTTCAATTTTCTTTTGAGGAATTTCTTCAGACCGGGAATCATCTTTGCCGGATGACGCGAGGTAAATCTAAGAATAATTAAGCATAGTTCAGCGTCACGAAGAAACTCTCGTTAACACTAAAAGGAATACGGAAGTATAAACAAACGAAAAATAACTTTTTCGCACCATTTTCCTTGCTTCGCGAACCCATAAACAGCAAACTTTTCTATGCTTCAAACATTTACCGCCGGCGGGAGGTAATCATTTAACCCGTTGGCCTTCATTTTCATTACTAAGGCCCCACTTTTCCCCCCAGTCATTCTGAATATTTTGTTTTCACTTTTAATTTTATTATTTTCTACCTCATCCGAGATCCGTTTTTCCTTTTAAAGATTTTCATCCATGTAAAGTAAAATAAATAAAAACAAATATGAAACTAAAAAATTACACACATTTAAACATAGAAAATGAACATGTTAAAAAAATGAAAACCCAAAACTAATTAAATTCGTGAGATTGTCTGTTGGGATCTGAGGCTTGTGGATTGATGAACCTGTATTTCGGCCTCGCGTGATCGTTTTGATC